AAAAGATAGCATGCAACCAATAAAACGGAAAGAAACTATTGTAAGCTTGTACTGCGGGCTGAGCCTGCCGCGCCCTACCGCCATTGCCGTGCACAAATTCATTTTCGAATTCGCCCACCACATATTTAGTGGGGTGAGGACGACTATGCTTTCATTTAGTTAGATTAGTCATGTGTATTGGGCAATAGTACACATTTCCGTAGTTTGTTCAATTAGAAATGTTTTACCGTTGTTGTTTGCCGCGCGTGGTGTGCAGGCTTACTTATGAGCCACAAACGAGTCGCGCCCTATCACTGCAATCAGCGCATCAAGTAGCTTTTCTAAGCTGATTTTCAAACAGATCTTTGCGAAGTAGATTTTTACCGTACTCCTACAGTATTCGTGAAAAAAAACCCTCAGCAAGTTCGCAAATGTTGTCTGCATCAAATCCATCCGGAAAAGAGCTCGTGAAATACTGAAAACAACACAAAAACAACTTACCGTATATCTACCGTATCCCGCCAGACTATCGAGTCCTATATATGAGAAGCTGCGTCTCGCAAGCTGAATCGAGCTGTGCCCTTAGATTCAAAATTGTCCACTTCAAACCAAGATTTGGCGATGCGACGCGAATTTTGGCGAACTGTGGTAGCAAGCTTCGGCGGCCGCCGCGGTCATTTACCCATAAATTACGGTATTTAGGTATAGTAAATGGGTGGCAATTGAAAATGGTTACGACGCGGCGTTACAGTAACCCGCGGGAGCAGTAGCGCAGGAAGCTTGTCCATATTTATGTTTATGTATTCTAGTTTTTCATTATAGATTCCTATTTCTTCTATCGAAAATTTTTAATTTTCTTTCCTTTTTCCTCGAAAATCGCAGAACTCCTGAAACTGTTCAGGGGTCATAGTAAAAACGAACCGTAATGATCAAAGTTCTCCGAAGTGCGTCCCAGTGTCATTTATCTACGATGTAGTAAAAGCAGAACTGAAGAAGCTTTAAGTTGAGTGTCTGTATGTAGCATACGACCTCCGAAAGTTTCAAGTTCAAAAGTTTGAGCCAACATACTAATTACGCAATTTTTAGCTCAAAAGTATGTCCGAGCAATGGAGCATACGTCATGGCTGTGAAATTTTATCTCGGTAACTGGAGATTTTGACTTTTTGCACTTTTATACTTAGGAACCCGAAACTTCGTATGTAATTTATCAATTCTTCCAATGACATAGTGAAATCATGCAATTTTGTGATCTTGAAAATCCTTATTGTTTTTGTTGTAATTTCCTAGCACATCAGTCCTTGGAGCGTTGCTCTAAAAGTAAATTAACGATAACTGATATTCGACTGCGGCACGGGGGCGGGATGTCAACTGGTAGATAGAATTTCAAAGATACGTAGTTCAACATTTGTCGTATCTCGACGATCCAAGCAACGCTTCAGCTTTTCGGACCTTCTTTCATTCCATTAAGTCATTAGATAGTTTTTCAGTAAATCGTAGGTGCTCCGTACACGTTAACATCAACACCATGAAGACAATGTATCTCAATTGTAATCGCAAATTGCACTGATATTTCAAATTGTCATTCACCTCATAAGGCTTATATTGAGGCCTCCGCCGTGCACCCCAACGAAAAATCCCTCTTATTGTTAAAGGCAGCGTCCAGGCAAAATTTCAAATGGAATTTTTTTTGCTTACCTGGGCTTATTCCTTCGACTTTGGTGCTAATCGCAGGGAATTTACGACAGCAAATCAAAGGCGTGATTTTTGGTTTGGTGCTTTTTTTTTTAAAATGCAGCTTGGAGGACACGAAAACGTCGAAAACGGGCTGTTCAGCTGGGTAGAGTAACGAACGCCTCAGTTTGGCACCGCCTCCGCGGACTACTGGTCCCAACACGATGTACAACAATAGGACGAAAGGACCAGCAGCCCGCAGAAGCGGCGCCTAATTGAGGCGTTCGTACCTCTATCCGTTCCAGCTCTCGATTTGAATTTTGTTGCCTGTCGCCAAGGTTTCTTTGTGGGACCCTACGTCTTGACTGTGTGCATCTGGCTTATTGAACTAACTCGTCCCGGTCGCCGAGGCGTTCCGGTCTCCACTTCTGACGCGGATTTTTGCTTCGGAAGCAAATTAGTGCATTGCCAGTTGGGCAAGAACCTTACCAGGACGGGCGCCCCTGTATCTGCCCGGACGCTGCCTTTAAAGGCAGTGGATCAGCAGAATGGACCTCTAACGGATAGTGTTAAGTAGTGTTAAGTAGTAGACCCCCCGAATACACCGTAGCCCCAATCCCACTCTCCATTTTGTGCTCTAAGACCTGTAATGGAGATTCAAAACACCACCAGCCCCGCCCACTTCCATTGAGTGGGCGTCATTGGTGGAGTTTTGAAGCGTTTTTTCAGGACTTAGCGCATGAATTGGAGGATGGGATTGGGACCGGCGTATTCGGGGGGTCTACTATCCAACACTACCAAAATCTGATAGAGGTCCATTGTGCTGATCCACTGTTTTTAAGACACACACCTACCTCACGCGCGAATTTTAGGAAGGCTCATCTTTGATCTCCGCAATGCTTTTCTTAGAGTTCCTGAAGCTAATGCCCTGTAAGCAAAGCTTCAAACGCGTTTGAGCTTACACCATGTATGTACCTAGGGTGGGGAGGGGGGCAAAAATTATTTCCAAATGGAGGTGCGCGGCGTTAGCCACGCCCTACGAAGAAGGTTTCCGGCGAGCTTCTCAAAATTTTTGTAGGTCCATCACTCTTAAATTCTAAAAAAAGGGGCTTAGCGGCAGCCATCCTCCTCCCCCCGAAAAAATTATTACGAGGCTGATTTTAGTTTGCAGAAATTTTAAAATAATTTCAATTGTTGACAATAATAAATAAGTCACTTGCGCATCTTTGTACATACAAGTAAATTTCAAAAATTTCGCGGCACGTTCTCGGGAAGGGGGCGCTCCCCTTCCCTCGGTCCGCCATTGGTACCTACCGTGTCTTGCACGGCCCATTAGCAAATCAAAATGTAGTGAATTACAACTCGCCTGAGCAAAAATCTCAAAAATTTGTTCAAATTACCACAACGCTATGATTCTTCTACACATCAAAAAGTGCGTCGCTGGGCTAACTTGAATGGTGCCTTCGGATCAGAATCTATACACCTCAAAGAGGGAGCGACAGTACCAAATTTTGGCGTACTTTCGTGGCCTGTGCAGTTTTTTCTTGAACTTTGGGCGGTTTTGTACGTTGTAACTTATGAATTTAAACATAAATGCCTTCCAACGTTTATTTTCTACGAGTGACGTCAACTATCGTTGTTTGATAGAGTCTCCCCGTCTTGATTATAAACGAGTATGAACAAATTTAGCGCTATTTACCCAATGAGTGGCATTTTTTGAACAACTTCCAAAACTACACTGCGGAAAAAGAACTTCCGCTAGAAACAGCTTCACGAGATGGAAGAAGTACAAAGGGTTTTTATTGCAGAAACCTCTCATTTTACGCGTACCTTTGCTTTAAACTCAACTTTTTCCTTGATGCTGAAAATTTTTTTATTTCCAACATATCTCTCCAGACGCTCACATGAATAGCTTGTTTACTCCCACTTGTTTTCTCCGCAATGTGTGGGACACTGGCGAATACTTTCGCCGCATACCTACTTATTATGTCTTCTAGGTTGATGCAATATCAATGAACATTTGGCGAAGTTATTTGACCAACTACAGCTTCATTACTGCAAATTTTTGAAGTAAAGCCCTTAAGAAACAGCAGACTCGCAACTTAGGGCATACTAAACTGATTTCAAACATGATGAAAACCATGCACAGAAGAAAAAACAAGACATAAACTTTTCCCTATCCAACATTGTTTTGACAGATCCGAACTGCTGCAGAGTAATGTTGAGGCTGGTAATCAACTTAACTGGCTTCTGAAAGCTCTTAGGAGAACATGAAGTATCCGAAGTCGAATTAAAAATCAATTATCAAAATCTTAAATAGTCAGCCTTATTTGTGGTAGGCGCAAAAATACCAGATTAAGATAATTTTCAATTTCTGGAGTAGTGAACAGCTAAGCTCTTTAAATGTGCCAACGGAATACGATCATTTGCGCATGCACTGAGACCCGGAATTTGGATTCCGGTTTTTCGTGCACAAAATTTTGTAAAATTCTGAATTATGTGGCTAAAAGCCTGTTTGAACCACTTCGATGCTAGAAAGTACATGAAGGAATTCAAATAGCTGCGTAATATGTTTTGCAAAGGGAACTTGATAGAATACAGCCGTTCGGAAAAGGGCAGCAGATATTAATTTTGCACCATCTCAATATGTATAAATTATATTATTCTTCAATTTTGTTTATGCCGTAACAGGTTTGACAAGTTGAATTGTTGTTTAAGTTTTAACAGGTTTTACAATCTATAAGATTTTAACAACCTGTGATTTTTGCATGAATGAGGATAAACGGAGGGAACGAACCAAAAACCCTATAAACTTATCCTTAGCAGGCAATAGATGAAAATGAGGATCGGACATTAGAAAGCTGGACTTTACTCAGAAATTGACCTCTACTTATATACACAGGATATACACAGGTCATAGTTACATACATACGCTCTATTTATTGTTCTAAAGATTTTTTCTTGGGCGATAGATCAAATACCTTCCAACCCAACGAATAGAAAATGAAGCTTTGCCCTTACTCTAACGTATAAGTCCACTGAAATATGTGTCAACTTCTTGACACAACTTCTGCAATATTTTTTAAATATAAATTTGATGCTGGGCAGAGTTTTAGCACAGCAAGAAGCAAAACATGATCTGTGAGCATTATGTGACTACAGAAAAACAAAAGTTGTTTATTGGTTTTTTGGCAACCACATTCTGGTGTCATAGTTTTCCACCTTCGTTTTTTTCTTTATTCAAAATAGGGAAGACGTTAGGGTAATTACCTAATGAGCCAGTAAACACATTAGCACATACGAAATCTTTGCAAGCTCGCAGCATTGTATATCAACAACTTCGTTTTCAGAACCGATTTCGTTGGGGATTTTCGGCTCCAAACGTAAGAAGTTCACTCGCACAAGAAACTGATCTGCTCAATCTGCCAAGCACATCCGCTGACAATGTTTCCGTCCAAATGAAGAAGTCAAAGTCGATCACGTTTTGTGTGCCAACACAGGAGCGATCAGTGAAGTCTGCAAGGAGCAGCGTGAGTGGCCTGTTTTCGTAGCTTATCTATTTGCTGATGCAAATCCCTCATAGTGTTTAGCGGGGCAGTATCCCACTTTGCGCACACATGTTTTCAGTTCGATTACTAGAAGTAGATTGCTCACTATCTCAAAACAAAACTCATCCTTCGGCAATTCAGTTGTCTCTCCAATATCTCCTCGTAATCCACGAAAACAAGCAATGATTTTGCATATTTGTAGAAGATCATTAGCCCAGTATAGATGAAGGCATCAGTTTTGACATCAATTCAAAGCCTTCAGTTCCTTCACGACTTTGCAACCTTTCTTTCGCAACTCGAACCTCTTGGTCGAACTAGACAGCGACAGCTTAGCCTCGTGCTTATCCGTGTTTGAACAGACCGACATCCGACTATATGTTTAACACATCTCTAGCTATTGAGAGCAAAGATTTATATTGCGACATAAGATGCTAACCAAGCGCTGCAAATTGAACCAGGCTCTAATTCTTCATTTTCTGGCTGATACATGTTGAAACAAGGTCGTAGTTACGTAGCCTTTTAAGAGTGTTCCAAAGGTTTTGTCAATCACCTCAGTTTCCGCTATTGGGCATTGCTAAAGGGCAATCTGCACGGTTTTCAAAATTGGCATCATATTATCTCGAAAGCCCGAATAAGATAGCTAGCTGCTCGCGCTATGAAAACAAAATTCACATGTCCATGAAAGAAAAAGTAGAAGAGGTATGTATAGAATCTATCTAGGATTTGATCATCCAGCTTTGTAATCAACGTAAGAGGATTATAGTGTTATAGTTTTGGTATGCATTATCTTTAATTCCTCCATTCTTTTTTGCAACAAGAGCTGTCTCACTCAGGCGTTTCGGAAAAAATACTACGATGCAAAAAAGCAGTTTTCCAACTAAGCTGCTCTAGAACAGATGCGAAATTGCTGCATACTTTTATTCTCACCCCTATGTAGTCATCAACAATGTTAAGCTGAAACTCAATATTAGGAGAAGAGCTTTACCGGCATCTCGAGATATTCTGAAATGGCAATATCTCCAAGATTTTTCAAAAATTTCTCAGCTATTAGCTACCCATTCTACTTCACCCACCGTTGGACTACCCTACTGTTCTCCTTGTTAATTGACAATGTTCATTTGTTCTGCTTACAAAGAGGTTCTCGTCTTGATTCCTTCCATCGAAAATGTCTGCAGAAACTTATATTTCAAATTAATCATGTTATTTTCTGGCCGGAGAAGGCAGCAGATGTGCGACAACGTCATCCTCTTTGCTACGGAAATGAGATCGAAATATTGGGTTTCCTCCCTGTGGTAGGACTTGAGCAAAACAGCAGCGGTTTATTCAAGTAAGATGGATCGAATTTCTCTATGGATCCACCCATTAAGATATTTTCTTTAAGCGCTATAATCAATTTTTTGGGTAGTTGTCTGGAATCTCAGTGAGAGGCATCGTAGAAGCTGTATTAGTACAACTGAATTAAATTTTGTACGAGCTTTACAGGAAATTGTAAGTTATGTATTGAAAGCCCACACTTGCTTAGTGACGGGGTGAAGGCTTTTATGAGGCAAAGGGTCCAAAACCCTCACCAAAGAAAAGAGGGATTAACGGTCTCTTTTGTACCCAATACTCTACAGCTGTAAGAAGACAGGTTTCAAAGTTTCGAGAAATAATTTGATGAGGGATTTCTAATGATCAAATATATACTTTTTTTGGTATATTGAGCTAATATTCGCATGTAGATGCAGTTCTTTCGCCACAATTGCCTTAGTTTCCAACACAAACTTATCATACTGCACTAAGATGCATTAAATTGCTTAAATCCAGAACTATGTATCGCACTTGAACTCCCTTAATTCTCGTAGTGTTGAGCTGTATGTTGCTGGTCGGGATTCATTTGTAAACATTATGAAAAACGCGCAACCTCACCATATGCAGTTCAGAGGTCACTGCGCACACGAAATCGAGAGCCTCCTCGAAATTTACTATCCTCTTGAGCACGAGCTGCAACTGAGACCGTTTGTCGTTCATACCATCTTTAAAGTCTTGCATACTTTGTAATACCGTTTAATATATCGTCCGTCTGACACTTCTGAAGGTTCTATAGCAGCCATCAAGTATTTTGGTACGAGTGTGAGTAAAGCTCTCTAATCCAAAATGGTTGCATTGCCCTGCGCTAATCTTTGAGCCCTTGATGCTCTTGGATATAGTTGGTCCCAGAAAGCGCTCATACGTACTAAGTACGTTATGGGCGCTGGTATCTGACGGCACGCTGCTGCTATTTGTGATTCTGATGACAGCGGACGAATTCCCGCGGGATCGTGGGATAGGCGGACGGGGTGCTTCTTCTAAATGGGCATCTCACACTGTTTAGCTGAAGAGTATCAGGGCCATACTTTACGAAGAAGAGTTGCGGATTTTTCTTGTGACAGTCACCTTCTCTCCCCTTGTCTTCATCGATCTCTATAAAAATCTTCGGAAGTTTTTTTCACAAGGAACATGCGTGCAACCTATGTGAAATGTCAGCGCCCATCTGACAGCTCTTTAAAGTTCTGTAAGTTAGTCAATGCAGTAGAGATTAGACCGTTGTTAGGCGCGTGGGATGAGTCCCATCAAACTTACTGCTTGAATTGAATTAGGGTTGACATGGACCTGATTTGTATCTCCTCAGCATGTACATTAGGTCATTAGGTTGATGCAAAAGTAATGGCCGTTATTCCAAGCCTATTTCAGGACACTTTAATCTATCAAAATCTCCTCTTTGAAATAAGCGCAACATACCATTGAGAAGATCTTTTTCATGCTCTGTCCACCGATCTTTGAAGCCGATTACCACCATCATTTTCCAAAAAGTTACTGAGCTTCAAATAACAGCTTTAAGATCAGAATCTCGTTGCATTCACTTTTTTGGCCAGAATTCGAGCTCGAACGAGGGCACTTTACCGAAAATTTAGCTACTATATGTAAAAGAAATTGTGTACATTATGCATACCATACCTTACCTCTCAGAAATTACCTAGACCGAGGTATCGGCGCCTCAACAAGGTTGGTCGTTTTGGTCACTCCGTGTCACAAAAACTTTTTCTAAAAAAAGCACTCGCCAAAGCTTCTGTAAGCGTAAGAGTAGGGCATCCTGTTGATAATTTTTGCTAGAACTTTCATTTGTTCTGTACGCGGACAATTAGACAATTGGACAATGTGGGACTTTGAAACCTAATGAAAAATCTGAAAAAAATTGATAGTTTTGAACTGATTTTTCTTGCAAATTTTCTTTGCCCAGGCCCTTTTCATCTCATTTTGTCCTACTGGCTTGCAGCTGCAAGATGGGCAACTCACCATTTATACTAACAAACTGTGAAGGAAGTAATGATCTGTCAAAAACAAGGCTTCAGAAAAAAATTGTTTTTATTTTTCAATCCATATCTTTCTGCCAGTCATGATATGAGTATAGCTCAATGTGCGCTGTATTGCAAAAGGTTTGCTGCTTCTGATGGTCTTTACCGCATTCGACAATATTTTTTAAAAAAGTAATAGCACGTCAAATTGAGCATTTGCAAAACGGACACTATTTTTGCATCAAACCAATAAAAATCAAGCTTTTGACCTTGAGAGCATAGAGCACATCTACTGACCATCCTCATGCCTACCAGCCCCTTTCTAATAGTTTGAATGTAGGGGGCACAAGTGGAGTAAGGTAGGGAGTCAACTACAGCTGCTCCATCCCTCTCGAAAAATCAGAAAATCATCAGACACCTACATGTATTTATTCATCATCTAATAGCTTTTGAGGAGGAGATTCACATTAAATGTCTGTCATGTCTTACTTTATTCACAAGAAAGTTGTTCATTAACACTAAAGGAAAAAAAGACTTTCGAGAATTCAAATAGCAACGATGATGCCGTCGAATCCTCCAGGATTTTGTAGAATTAGGATTATTTATATATGCTGCGCCAAAATTATTAAGTTGTCCCAAAAGTTAACTCCATTTCAAATAAATTGGGCCCTTTTTGTTTTTCCAGCAGACTTAGTACCGTTCGATAGACCGGAGCAAGCTCTACAAGAAGACCTAGGTCTTAGTGCCTTTTCAGTGTAGCTGAAAAATTATGATTTTTGGCTTCAAATTTTGCCTGGATTGCGACCTAGGTACTACCTAGGTCGCAATCCAGGCAAAATTTGAAGCCAAAAATCATAATTTTTCAGCTACACTGAAAATCATATCTCCTCCAAGATTTTTACGGACTTCCAATTTGCTTTTCATATAACAGACGCATAGTAGTACTCAAAAATGCATTTGGTGGATTTTTTCCGGGGTGTGAAAATGCCAAAATGCCGCTTTTCGGGTTTTTCGTGTAAAGCTTGTTATTTCTCGATCATAAGAGCAAATACAGGAGTAAAATTCAAAGCTTACTTAATAAGGCTCGTAGTAGACAATGACATATGTGGGAGGGGCCGGGGGCGGAGTTTGCCATTTTTGGACTATCTTCAATTTCTCGCCTTTCATGCGCGAAAAAAAATCCAGCAAAGGCATATTTGAGTACTACTATGTGTTTTTGATGTATAATGACAAAGTTGGAGGTCTGTAAGCTTTTTCCTCGCAAAAATCCAATTTTCAGGTGACAAAATTTATTTCGATTTTAGCTTCAGTCTTTACATGGAATGCAACTTAGGCGGACCCTTGCTTGCCATTTTGTAAAGCTTTACTTGCTCTCTCGAATGATACCTTAAGCCTATTGGGAAAGCTGAAACTGCTTAAATTACTTAAAAAGGAATTTACTTTTGGGGGTGTCTTCATAAAGAACATGATTTTTTATATTATTTTTGCCATGCAAAATTATGGTAGTAGGAAAAAATTACGAATTTTTGGAAATTGTGTGACAGAACTTTTAGTTCATTCTAATAAACATCAAAATTTATTTGTTAACCGTACTTCCGTATGAGCAGCAATTGAGGCTCCGATGCTGCTGTAATCATTAGATAAACTTTCATTCCTAAGACATTTGAAAAGCGTCCGACTAAGACTCGT